GATGTAGTATTTTAATTATGTGCTCAATGATCTTTAAAATTAATATATATATATATATATATATATATATATATATATATATATATATTTCTTTTTTTTTTTTGTCCAGTGTTTCTTTTAGTTTCATGAGACTAAAATAAAGAATGGATGAAATTGTACGTGGATGACTATAAGTATGCTTTCTAAATTGGTTATGACTAATATTCTTATTTGCCATCCTAAGCAGTTTTCAAATATGGCGAGGGTATGCGACAACGACAAATCCTTGACCAGACTCAACACTTCGCATCCTACCACTACCCACAGCTCTCGTTACAAGGTGACCATATGTCGGGTATCATGGTCATTCGGTTTGAACGACTTCAATCCGGTTATAATAACCGTAGTTATCAATCCGCTGCAATGATTTGACTTCATTTTATATATTTAAAAAATCTTCTAATTTTCGATTATTATCTGATGGTAATTGGATTCATTTTTCATATTCTATTGATTTCTCATAACGTCTGAAAGATGACCTATGAAGAGCTGCTTCATGAGTCTCATGGTACGAAGAAAAGGAGTTAAGATGGGCGGTGCGTTTAGCCCGAAGAAATCCACCAGCAGAATCCTCTTCAAAGCAACGATTATCAAAACCAAGAGATGACGTGCAAGATCAAAACCAGAGGGATTGATAGATTCAGACTTTGGGTGCAGCGAACTGGAAAGCAGTGGCCTAAGAAAGGCAGATATGGAGAATGCGGATTTAAGCGGTCAAAGCTTGATTCAATTAAGCAAGGTCTGTAGAGCAAACTGAAAAAAAAAATTAAATCAATTAAACCAAAAAAATCCACTAAAAAATCGTTTAAAAGACAAACATCTTTCCAAAGAATAGGTTGGATTATGTTTATAATAAATATAATGAATATAATTAAAGGTTTAGTGAACCCGAAATTCCGATGCCCGAACCACCAATCTATGTCCTTAACGAACGCAATCCTCCCACTTTCGATTCGGTCTACTTCTCGGACGTTTACCACTCGGCACAGCAGATATTAGACATTAAGGGATTCTTTTGTTATTAAGTCCAACAATTTTACACTCTCATTTTATTGGCTTTAATATAGTCACCTCGATTATATTAGTTGGACCCATTCCTCTTTGGTACGAATATTCTACTCCAAACTTTATTTTCAAAAATTTTAAGACATTGCTTATCCCTTAATGTATAAAGAATCGTTGGTAGAACAATTAGTTTTAAATTCAATTAATGGAATGTTAAATTAAATTAAGTTAAGAGATTCCGACTACTCCAACACTTACTTAACAAACGCTCTAAACTTACAATATTCTACAAAAAAACTCATTTACACTACCATCATGTACCGTGTACAATCCTTACGATTCAGAATCCTCCGTGAAATCCTGGATGTTGTGTCACTAATAAAATTATCCATAAAGACCTCAATATTCCTCTTGTTGAAGACTTGGTCCGAAATTCCTCTTTTAATTCCAAACTCTTTGGACACTCCAATCCTCTAGTTCATAACCTTTCGTCAAGTACATTTCATGACAATCCTCCAAGGCTTCTGAAAAGAAGATGGCCAAGGGCCAGTCGGCTCAGGGGGTAAGAGTTAACAGATTAATGCCAGAGTTAAAAAAATCACTCTTTCAACGGGACACGAACTTGTTCTTATTTTATCAAATTATATCTTAAGTTAACGAATCGCAGAACTTAAGTTATAGAAGTAACACTTTTATTCATATGGCATCTATCATACAGAATTATGCAATAACTATTAGGTTAACTACAAGAGCTCACTCCAGGTCTGCTATAAGAGTATGACAACAAGAGCATGAATCTACGTCTTCTAGAATGTGACTTCAAGAATGTAACTGCATGAGTGATCTGTCCAGAGGACCATGGAAGTAATATATCCAGGGAAAGTAGAGGGGATGAGGGAAGTCGGAAGAGGGATTCAAAAGAAGTTATCAGTATTTGATATTCTTAATATGTGGTGGTCTGTAAATAAAAGGGCTGGAGTTATTAACAACTGACAACTGATATTCTTTAGCATTGATACTGCCTTTTGCTGAAATCTGTTATTTTTCTTCCTCACTACCGAAGGTAGGGAAGCATTGTATTCGTGCGAGAGGTTAAAAAAAATTTTGCTCAAAATCGAAAATTTTCACTCGCATTTACGTTTCAGACATCAAAGATCAAATTTAGTTGTTCAGTGTCTGTCTGTCTGTAGTCAAATCGATGTAACGGGCATATCACCTACTACCGTTAATCCGATTTTCATGAAATTTTCAGGAATTGTGCGGGTTGGTGTCTAGATGGTCCCGTATCAATTTTATTAAATTCTAACCAGCACTTACGTTCGCGCAAACGCATTTTTGTAGATATGCCAATATTTCAGAAAATGTTGGTTTGATTTGGCTCGAAGTTGGATAAAAGGTAGGTATTTGTGAAAACATAATGTCAATTTTATTGAATTTTATCTATTGCTTACACTTATATATCTGCAAACGTGTTTTCATTGATACTTTTATATCTCTAAAACTACAAGTTCGATTAATGTAATAACCAATTACCGAAATTTTTCTTAGATCTTGATTCTTGGGTCTTTTTCTCTTCAGTCGGTGCCTTTTAGATTACTATTTCTAAGCAATCAGAGATAGCTTGTCCTAGCTATCCTAGATGTTGCCCTTTGAGTTTTGGGAATAGTCAATTCATGATACACCAATTGGCGCAGTTAAATTATTATTATTTGTTACGGATTAAATTCATTCCGTAACTTTTGATCAGGTTGTCGTCCAACGGCGGTGTTACGCACACGCGTTAGCTCGCTCGGCCACCCCTCCCCCTAGCAATGCAATTATTTAAAAAAATCATAAGGCTAAAAGAAAATGAAATCAGAATAAAGTTGATGTCACCAACGCCATCTCGCTACTTACCCCGCTCTCCTCTACAATGATTGCCACAATAATTGACAAGAAACAACGTGGAATACACAAAATCAGTTGGATGGATTCAATTAGCCTTTGGATGCATTTAACTGGAAAGTTGTAGCCCAAGATAGTTAGAGATGGTTTGGCCAAAGATCTATTAGGTCTGAAAAGCCCACAGAAAAAATAATGACAAAGTTTTTTTGGAAATTACGAGCCTAGCATTCGTAACAGTTGTGTCCTCGTGTTTTCCTCAGTTATGTAATAGAAATAATCTAATGAGTTTTATACTTGTTGAGTTTAGATCTTAAAAAGAAATCTGCATAAGTTATTAAAAAAAAATTATTTGATAAATGAGCCACGCCTGAACCTCAAAATGTGGTCCTTGACCTAGGATGAGGTCTTCGAAACCTGTTTGGAGGTTGCAACCCAATTCTAGGCAGAGATTGTTGGCCAACAGAACCTTCTCAAGAATACAGATCAGGAATTTCCGTATTTCCGGTCAGGCTCTCCTTGTAGTGAGGAATTTCGATTGCTATGCGAAGAGAATGAATAACAACCTTTAGAAATCTTAATACATGTTATCGCAATATATGCCTAAGAGTATCGGCACAAGGATAATATAATTTTACGGATTGAAGGCCCATGATATTCGTGAGTAATCGATCCGCCGAATCGGATATTATTTTTTTTTCAGAACTAAAAAAAAACTCTTAAAAATTAGGAATATAAAATAAGATCGTATTTTTATGAAAATATGGAAATGAACCATAAGAATCCCAACATTCATCTTTTATGCTAGAAATTAATGTGAAATTGTTAATTTTTTCAAATAAAGCAAATTAAAGGTACTTTAGAGGAAGCTGATATTGAAAATTAGCCATTTAAGCCCTGTTAGAGAACATCAATCAGAATAAAAACTAAATTTTATTTAAAATTGCTTAATTTTATCAAAATATATAATATATAATATAATGAATTTAATCAAAATCGTTATAGCCGTTTTCGAGAAAATTGTAAAAATATGTTTAGGCCATAATATAAAATGCCTCTTCCGGTTAGCCGATTTTGGCAAAAAAGCTGCTGTAACCTCCCTAGGATATAAAAACGTTAAATTTCATTTTCGTACTACTTTTCGTTTATGAGCTAGAGTGTTAACACATACAAACACACACAGACCATTTTGCGGTACTTGGTTATTTGGACTAAGGGGACCTTAAAACGTGTATTTCCATTGAAAACTAAGATTAGAAAATTTTCACGAAAGTAATACTTTACTATATATCTCATATATAGGGAAGTGAAAGTAAAAATGGTAATCTTAGAATTAAATGTTCTTTTTTTTAATATTATTGAAATTTACAATAGTATTAAATGATAAATACAACAAGTAAATATGAAACAAGTAACATGACATGTACAACATGAAGAGAAACCCATTGGTAGCACTCCAATTATATTTCTATATTAGAAGGTCCCGAGGCCATCTTCTTTTCATCTCGGATGGATATCAGGGATTGAGGAGGAACCAAGGTTGAAAACAAGAAGATTGGGATAGTTCTGAAGTTTAATATGGAAAGACAGGTATCTGGATTGGGACAAATCGGAAACGTATGGTACATTAAGGTCATTATGGATGATTTTATGGTGACAAAGTAAAGAGCATTGAGGATAGAATTAAATGTAAAACAGAGACACGGAATATGAAGTTATATAAGGAAATAATAGATATAAATCGAAAATTAAGATATTTTAAAATCTATCAAAATGTACTGACTACGTATACAATTATTTTACATTATTTTAACTTTTTATTGCCTACGATAATCGATTTTAAATAGTTCAAAATATTAAATCGATTCTTTGCAATTTCTGCCTTAAACAAGCTAATGTTTCTCCACGATTACATTATCGCTCTGATAGTTGCCCTTACAAAAACTGTCTCAGGGCACATCTATATCTGAAATTAGTAATACATTTTTATTTATTTTCTTTCACGAATCTTACTCTAATATATATATTTTTTTAGTTAGGAAATAATACAGCCGTTATAACAAAAGAGTTACTATGATACAAAACATGAATATTGTATTTGGAAAACAGCTGATGAAAGTATTTAGCTTCATTTTTTAGCATTTAATTTAATCTATCATTGATTAACAATAATCATGTCAAATTTAGATTTGTCCGATATCTTTTTACAAGACATAGAACTTCAAGAATTAGGTCCATCATTATTCAGGTTAGTGGATCTTTCCTTAGAACTTGAAATTGTATACAGAACATTACTTATCAGTACTTAATTGTGTATTAGGGAAATATCATAGTTCACAAACTCTATACATTTTAATTATGTTATTCGATTCTAGTGCTTCAGCACAAACTTATTTTATCATGTGATTTCTTAATTATTCAGATGTTTCCATTCTTTTTATTCCCGAAACTAATTTTAACTAACACACGATATAACTTACATAATTTAACGATTATGATGCATTTATTCGGAATTTTGTTCGGTGATGAATTTTTCGTTAATTATCTCCAAGTATTTTTCGACCGATTGAAATTTTAAAGAATTCGTGAAAGAAATAATCATGATATAACTACGAGTTCCTAATCGCTACTTTAAATGGAGGCTGGTGTTAAGATCACTTCAAGCACACTCTATACCAAATTCCGAGGAATGCCGAAAGTAACCGAGTATTGACGATCATATTCATATACAAATGACTGCAGTTTGTACTAGGATCTTCGTATTTGTACTAGGTTATGACGTAATGTACATAATTTTTGCTGACGTATGCATGGTCATATTTTTATGAATGGAGTTTAGGATTGTTTTACAATTATTCTTACTGTATTCTTATTCATATTTATATGAAATACTGAACTTCTGTTGCTTTATAGGCGAATTTGAGATTATATCCTCTTTAATTAGGGTATATTTATTAATTCCTTCATAAAACCATGATTGTATATATATGTTTTTTTTTTTTAATTTTCTAGAAAACAAAATTTAAAAATATATATATTTTAGATTTTTATCGAGTATAAAATAAAATATAAGAAACTATATCCTTCTCAAAACTTTTTTTGTAAATATATATTTTTTAAATTATGTAGTAAAAAAAATTAAAAAGAAATTTTTACCGTCATTTTTATCGAGCATAAAATAAAATACGAGAAAGTTTATCCATTATTTCCTTCATAAAACTGCAATTATAAATATATTCTAGATAAATTAAATTTTATTAAAAAATTGTTGCTGCAATTTAAAAAAAAAATAAGTTTGATTTTTAATCGAGTAAAGTCATGATAATGTATTTTTCCATAATTTGTAATAATTAAAGGAATATTGTATTCCCCGAGGCCATCTTCTTTTCAGACACCTCGGAGGGTTATCAGGGATCGAGGAGGAAGCAAGGTTTGAAACGAGAGGATTCGGATGGTTCTGCAGTTTGTTATAGAAGGATAGGTATCTGGATTGGGCCAAATCGGAAACATATGGAACATTAAGGTCTTTATGGATGATTTTATTTGTGACAAAGTAAGGAGCGTTGAGGATTTTACGAAGTATTTTGGATTGTAAGGATTGGATACTAGAGGAATTCGATGGTTTAGTGGAGCCCCAAAGCTCAATTTCGTAAGTCCAAATAGGTCTTATTATTGTCATATATATGAGTCGTTTATAATTGATTGAAAGCTTAGAGCGTTTGTCTAGTAAGTGCTGCAGTAGTCGAAAACGTCGGGCGGTTTCTAGTCGTTTCAGTCTGGTATGGGGGTAGAAAACAAAATTAAAAAAATATATATATTTTAGATTTTTATCGAGTATAAAATAAAATATAAGAAACTATATCCATTATTTCCTTCTCAAAACTTTTTTTGTAAATATATATTTTTTAAATTATGCATTAAAAAAATAATTAAAAATAAATTTTTACCTTCATTTTTATTGAGCATAAAATAAAATACGAGGGAGTATATCCATTATTTCTTTCGTAATTATTATTTCCTTCATAAAACTGCAATTATAAATATATTTTAGATAAATTAAATTTAATTAAAAAATTTAAACTGTAATTTAAAAAAAAAATATTTTTGACTTTTAATCGAGTAAAGTCATGATAATGTATTTTTCCATTATTTGTAATAATTAGGGGAATATTGTATTCTTTAAAAAGTTTTTTTTCCTGTTTTAATTTTTATATCAAGTTTCCAGTAGTTTCTAAAAATATATAAACTTCTTTTTATACTTCTGTTTATTTTTCCTACTTTTGGTGTCTTGAAGTTTTTTATTTTTTACAATAAATTAGTCCAATTATCACCAACATTTTATTGATACGCATTAATTTGACGTTTCGACCATACTAAGGCTCATTTTCAAAACTGGAAAATTATAATATCATTATTAGTTAATATTCAACAATTACAAAAAGAATTTCTTATTACATTTAATTGACTTGTCTAACGTTCTATGTCAAATTATTTTCGATACACATAAATTTATCTAAAAATATACATAAAGCATACACTTTTTATTATAAAAAAATCCATACATGTACGTAACTATAAACATTAAAACTTTAACATTAAAAACAAATGACTATTACCTTGATGAGTCCTCCGTTATATGTTCATAATTAATGTTGTAATTAGTATGTTCAGTGAACATTAAATTGTCATGTCATATAGGGGCTTCGCTCAAAGCGTCAAATTAATGCGTATCAATAAAATGTTGGTGAAAATTGGACTAATTTATTGTAAAAAATAAAAAACTTCAAGACACCAAAAGTAGGAAAAATGAACAGAAGTATATAAAGAAGTTTATATATTTTTAGAAACTACTGGAAACTTTATATAAAAATTAAAACAGGAAAAAAAAACTTTTTAAAGAATACAATATTCCCCTAATTATTACAAATAATGGAAAAATACATTATCATGACTTTACTCGATTAAAAGTCAAAAATATTTTTTTAAAGTTACAGTTTAAATTTTTTAATTAAATTTAATTTATCTAAAATATATTTATAATTGCAGTTTTATGAAGGAAATAATAATTACGAATGAAATAATGGATATACTTTCTCGTATTTTATTTTATGCTCAATAAAAATGACGGTAAAAATTTCTTTAAAATTTTTTTTTTAATTCATAGTTTATAAAATATATATTTACAAAAACGTTTTGAGAAGGAAATAATGGATATAGTTTCTTATATTTTATTTTATACTCGATAAAAATCTAAAATATATTTTTTAAAATTTTGTTTTCTAGAAAAAAAAAAAATATATATATATATATATAATAATGGTTTTATGAAGGAAATAATGGATATACATACGTTCTCTTATTTTATTTTATGCTCGATAAAAATGACGGTAAAAATTTGTTTTTAATTTTTTTTTACTACATAATTTAAAAAATATATATTTACAAAAAAAGTTTTGAGGAGCTTCTTGAAAACTTCTTTATATATTTTATTAAGCTAATTTACTTCTTGACCCATTAACTTAAAAAAAAAGATTAATGTAAAAAGGCTTTAAAATATATGAATAGAGGTACAAATATAAAGCTCTGATCTAATTTTACAAAAAAAAAAAAACAATAACACTGGGCCTACGATTCTCGAGGTACGAGAATCTGTCACAGAGCGCGCTACAACACTGGTCGTGTCCTAACGACATATTTTATATTAAAATACATTGAAAGTGGAATAATTAAACGTCCTCTCCTAGAATTATGCAAGTTCCGGGCTGTGACGAAATTGAATCACTGAAAATGAAATTTTATTCTGCCTTTATACGTCTAATACCCGTCCGATGAGTCGATCAAGACGTATACTAGAGGATTTTGTTAGACTTCGTCTTGTAGGTATTAGTTTAGATCTCTGGCTCTCTAGTTTTAATATATATATATATTAAAAAATCTAAATTATTCTGGGCAGCAAGATGTCGGATGGCCGAAGGACCAAAGACTTTTGTTAAAGTCATATATATTTAATATGTTGTTCTCATTTAAAATAATAAAAGTTCACTGTCAATAAATAAACATTACCAACAATTCATCGTTATCGTCCTTTAATAGCCGCGATCTCTGACAATAGAGGTCGCGCACATCTTCGACCCCCAGTTGGAGACATTTGACCCCTCACCATACAAATGTTTGAACACTTGTCATTAGTTGGATAATTCACTTAATAGACTATCTTATAGGCATCCTGGCTCCTTCGAATTCTTCCATTCTATTGGGTCTGGCTCATTATGACGTCATATAATGATCCTCGTTACCTCATCATTAAGTATATTTAAAATAATTATACGCCATGTTGTGCGTAAAATGGCGCCGTCATTAAATACATCATTAAAAACCATGACGAGATTTTCTTCTAAAAATGAAATAAGTTTAAAATTTTGACTTTTTTTTTAAATCAGTTTCGGTATAACTGAAATCTTAATTCTCATTTTTTTTTTTTTTTTTTTGTTATTTCGAACTAGAAATTTTACCTTGGAAATTTTCAAGTTGAACTTTTATTTTTTCTTTTATTATATTTTTTCATTTTATTTCTAAAAAACTTTTATTTACAATTAAACGTTCTTTTCATTTCGCCAAAAATTCAAAATAAAAAGTTTTAGGAACTTCAAACTTTTTTCTAAGGTACTCTAGTAATAATAATAAGACTATTAATGATATTTACAAATTAAAATATGTACATAATAATCGGCCATGTTTTGGTGAATTAAATTTCACACTACAGTAATACTGAAATCATTAACTTAAGTACCATTCCTTTGTTTTTTGAAAGTAGAAAAACTAATAAAAAAATAATAACTATATAAATGATTAATATATAAAGTAAGTAAACAGTAGTAATTTAATGAAAAACTATGTACATTTAAACATAGATACATAGTATATTTTATTTATGTTAATTAAGCTAAACTAAACTATAAGTACTCTATGAAACTGTCAAAATGGCACTTTTTAAAAATGGTCCATAAAAGTTTCGACTCCCATTAAAAACAGCTCAAAGTTTGCCTCTTTCGCATTCACTGAAAATTGAGAAAATACTATAAAATGCAAATGAAGAAAAGTAAGAAACGTTTCTGAAAGAGATTAATCAAACCAATCAAAAAAGATTTGTTTATTATTACATATTCCAAAAAAAAAAAAAAAAAAAAAAAAAAAAAAAAAAAAAAAAAAAAAAAAAAAAAAAAACAGAAATCTTCAACGTTACAGCTA